GTGTCTTTGAACCAACCAACCAACCATAAGCCTTGCATCACACCCCTAAACCTCGCGACCTCGAACCCTAAACCGCAAAGCTTGTTTTGTGGTGGGAGCTGCAAACTACCGAGGATACCTGAAATCATCGATCCTGCCGGAGCAAGTGCTGGAGGTGCCGTGGCTTCGATCCTCTACTACTGTCCGGGATTTTCGCCCCGGAACTTAGCAACTTCATCAAGTGGCCATCGGTTTCAGTTTTAGGCTGTATGCCTAAGGTCCCAAACCCGGAACGGAGTCTTGAACAGCGGGCTGTTGAAGTTTGCAACAAGCGGTTGCCCGAGCAGGCCGCCTTGTTATGTCCCGAGTTGGTTTTGGGGCCTGGTTTTCCCGGCGAGTGTCATACTGTACTTATGCTGCAGAAAGCCTGCAAAATCTAGTTCTGTGGGTCGTGCATTCCATGCAGGTGACGCTGCATACAATGTCAACGCGGTGTAGGTGCGCATGTGCCGTACCGGATTGTATAGGTTTGGGTAGGGTACGGTTTCGGGACGGTATGGTAACATGGTTCATACTATGATGTAGCTATTTGATTACGTAGGTATGTATACGCACACCCTTCTGCACTTACTGTATGTATGTGTGCATGTGTGCGTATGCCATCTATCTCTCTATCTCTCTATCTCTCTATCTATCTATCTATCTGTCTGTCTGTCTGTCTATCTATCTGCCCATCTATGTATCTATGTGTCTATGTATCTATGTATGTATGTATGTATGTATGCATGTATGCATGTTTGCATGTATGCATGTATGCATGTATGCATGTATGCATGCATGGATGTATGTATGTATGCATGCATGTATGTATGTATGTATGTATGTATGAACCTACACATGTATGTGTGTTTTACGACTGTATGTACGTATGTATGTATGTATGTATGTATGTATGTATGTGCATGCATGCATGTATGTATGTGTGTGTATATATATATATACACACATGCACTGCACTTTACCCGTGGCCGCACCGCACAAATATACATATGCATACCGGGTGAATCGACTCCATGTCGTGCATGCATGCATGCATGTCTGCATGTATGTATGTATGTATGTATGTATGTATGTATGTATGTACCTACGCATGTATGTGTGTCTTTACGAATGTATGTACGTACATATGTATGTATGTAGGTATGTATGTATGTATGTTTGTTTGTTTGTTTGCATGTATATGTATGCATGTATGTATATATATATATATGTATGTGTATATGCACTGCATTTTGCCCGTGGCCGCACCGCAAACATATACATATGCGGGTGTATCGACTCCATTTCGTGCAGTCCTCCAAGGTGCTGACAGCAGCGGCACAGATAGAGTACATCCTCCCGTCGGATGTGTGGCGTGGCCCTTTTAGTCAGGGTAGCTGCCGGTAGCTTGTTGAGGGATATCGACAGAGGTCGCGGAAGTAGATCAGGGTTTAGCGACGTTAGAGACAGCTGCAGCCTGGAGGCAGAAACAATACTGGAGTATGATCCTGGTGAACAGCGCCAAGATCGTCGAGGTGCAGAAGAGGGGGGTGTAGCATGTGCAGGGCGTTCCAGTTGTACACATTGCTGGATGCAGAAACTTTGTTTCCGAGATGGTTTCATGAAACGGCTTACCCTGTACTACACCATCTTATATCTACCAGTAGGGTCTACAGCCGTAAATCAGAGCCCTCGCACCTCAAAGCACCTCGAGCCCTCACGGGCTTTGGGGTCCAAACCCTTAAGGTAAGCCCTGAAGGCCTCGGTGCGGGTGCCAAGGCTGAGTAAAGCTTGCTGTAAGTTTCCTAAGACCCTATACAGGGATGTCACAGTATTTCCAAGGCTTTCTATTATTTATTTGCTTGGTTTTTTGGGTTCAAGCAGAGGCTTGCGGGGGCTTCGGTTTCGCAATCCTGCAGCCTCGAGGACAAAAAACTCGCGTTCCCTGTTGGTGGTATGCAGCTTCGAAATAAAACGTGGAATCCGGCGGGAGTTTTGTAACCCGAAGGAGTTCACGCGACAGATGAAGCCGCGATTGCACAGCTTCGTGTTTCTAGTTCAACAAAGTGCTGGTTTGGATATGGTGGTGTATCTGGTCGGCTAGGGCAGCTGACTCCCAGGCTACTTATGGAATGGTCGCAAAGTGTCTCGCAGGTTCATAAGCCTGAAGTTTTCAATATAGGGGCCTTGAAAATTACCTATGCTATTTTGGGGGTTCCTTATTATGATTATAGTACAATGGGCCCCAAAACCCTATTCTAATTCTTAAGGCCCTTCAGTAGCGACAAGTCCTTACAGGTGCTTCCATTTGAACCCGAAGCCTTGGCAGCAGATCTTCGTAACCCGAAACCTAAGCGTTGGACCGTAAACCCTGGATACCAACCGAGATGCTCTTGAACCTATGTATAGATCCCACATCCTAGTCCCCGAAACCCAAACCCTCGGGCTTTGAAGCCCTAACGAAGACCCTCAAGCAATCCAAAGGCACCTTCCTTCATTGCAGCCCACGGCTCCATCATCGCGCGGGACCCTTGCCTTCGGATTGGGAAGAGAACTACCCATATAGAACCCGGATAGAAACCCTATAAAAGCCTTTATAGATCCGGCTTAGTCTTCAGGGCTTGAGCTGTCGGCAGTTGCCATGCGCGATTGATGGACCTGATTCGTGGCAGTGCAAGCGAGGCCCCAAACCAATGCTCGACGCCATGAGAGCCCTTGTGAAGGGGTCTCAGCCTTTTGAGGGTTTCCCCGAACTCTGAGAGACGGCCGGAATCTTAAGTAATGCGCAGCGGTCAGATTTTAGATATCGGACGCTACCGTTGGCATTGGATGTAGCGGTTTGTCTCAGCGCTTTCCGGGCGTTCAGGAGTTGATGCTTCTGGCTACTGTTGAGTTCCTTGAGGCCTCTGCCCAAACCCTATAAACCCTAAGCCGCAAGGTGGTCCAGATGGACGAGTTCGACGTCAAAGAGGAACGTTCCTTGACCTCGCTTAGCCAGATCAGGGAACTGCAATGAAGACTGTAGCAAGGGTTGCATGGGCTGCGCGGTGGCAAAACGACCTCGGGCTCATTCAAAAAAGTGTAGTATTAGTTTACTAGGTAGCAATTTGGGAAACTTTAAAACTTCCCTTATGGTCTCTTTAGAGGTACCTATTCATAAATAATTACTTTTCAGGGACCCAAAACTACAACCGAGTTTAGGATTTTCCGGAGACCCACCTTGGAAGACCCCAAACCCTTTCTAGACTTGATAGCGACCTCAAGTGCTATAAGTGTTGGGGTCTAGGGGGCCTCTGGGTTTAGGGTTTAGGGGGTTTAGGGTTTAGGGTTTAGGGCTTAGGGTTTAGTTGATCCCCCAAGAGCACAGGTCTTTGGTCCCGGCTGGTGGAGTGGGCAGAGAGGGCCGTTGAGGCCTGTTCCCAGCCCTCGGTTGACTGAAAGATTTCCGGCGTATCGGACGTCGACTCCATCCGAGCTCGGTAGGTTTGCCGTGGTGGTCGCTTCGCGTTTGAGCCTAAACCTTTCATTCTTCGGGTGTGTGGGACGTTGCATTTCGGAGAACCTATACCATCGTCGCGAGATTTGACACGCTACGGGATTCTGAATTGTGTCTCCGAGGCTTCAGCATTGCCCACAAAATCACGCAATGCCGGCTACTGTGCCCACTCAAAGCCAGCAGAAGCAACCGCAAGCCTTCGACAAAGCTTCGGAGGATATGTGAGTGAAATCTGAGACCATAAGCCGTGACGCACAAATCCCACACCTCCCGAAACAAGTTCTCGAAAAGGCGGGCCCCTTCTGAACCGCCATTCGATTCTGAAGCAGGCAAAGCTCTTTGAAATCGAGACCGGAAACTTTTGAAATATTATGAACTTAGAGTTCATCATGACATAAGCCCTAAACCCTAAACCCTATAGCAGCCAAGCCAAGAGAAGGAGCCGCTGCTCTTGGGCTCCTTCGCCGACGCTATCGACGCGCCGGCGGCGAAGCGGCCCCGTGCACCTGGGACTGCCAAGTGGTCTTTGAGGGATCTTCCTAGGTTCCTGAGTAGTACCCTTTTGCCCTTTTTACTTTGGGGTCTCCTTATTAAAACCCCTAAACCCTAAACCCTAAACCCCTAAACCCTAAACCCTAAACCCTAAACCCTAAACCCTAAAACCCAACTATAGGAAAAAGGCTACCCTTATTATTTCGAGGTCACTCAGGAACCTAGCTTCAGACTGGGAGCCAGCAGCCTTTTCGGCCCTACCTACCCATAGGCCCCATAGTAGTTCCTTTTTGGGGATTACCTTATAGGTTTCTAAATATGAACCCCCAAAAGGAACTACTATGGGGCCTATGAGTAGACTTTGTGCTAGGGTTGATCAGTGGTTTGAAGCAAAAAATAATACCCGTTACAGGTTTCTGGGGGCCCTCTCCCTACAAGGTTCCTTCTGGAGAATATGGGGCTTCACATGGGTTTGGCTTGCATGGTGTCGGACCTGGGACAAGACACTATGGATAAACGTAGCAAGAAAGCCTCAACTCCTTAAGACCCTGAGCTGCTTAGTTACGACTTTTTTCAGATGTCACCCTAACCCCCCAAGGTACCTACTATATAGGGCCTTAGGGGCTCTGGTACCCTATATAGTAGGTACCTGGGGGGTCAGGGTCAACCTGCCACGCACTGACCAGAGCCAGCCCAAGGGCGAGGACGGCCCGAAGAGCGAGCGCAGCCGGCAGCAGCAAATGGCTCCCGCCTCGGCTTTTCAAATGCACAGGTTTTGAAAAAACAGTAACTCCCTGACCTCCCAGGTACCCATTAAAAAGGGCCTTAGGGGCTCTAGTACCCTATATAGTAGGTACCTGGGGGTCTAGGGACTGTTGAAAGGCTTGTTTTTTTTACGGCGGGAGTTTAGAGGGTTGCTTAATCGATGTGTTTGTTGCTTTGGCGGTCATATTGCTCATTTGCAAATGGTGTTCATAGTAAACAGATACAGAACATTATTTGTTTCATTTCTTCCTTTTTCAGTTGACACATTTCTTGATGTTGTACTATTAGCATTGCTCGCAACTACTGTTTCTTCAATAAAGTGTAAACAATTGAAGGGTTGCCGGCTTCGGGGTGGAGGGCTTCGCGGGCCATGGTGCATTTTTTGGGGGGTTCCGTATTATAAACTATAAGGGCCCTGAACCCCTAAACCCTAAACCCCAAACCTTCGGAGCCCGAAGCCTGACCACCTCAACCTGTAAAAGGCGAGGAGGAAGATCCAGGCACCCGAAGCCTTCGAAGCCAAGGCTTGGGATAGAGACAACAGTGAGTCAACTATAAACTCTCTAAAGGCCCTGTTAGGGTTTGGATTTAGGGCTTAGGGCTTAGGGTTTAGGGTTTAGAGATTTAAAAATAAACGCCACAAAGTCTCTGACACCCATTGTAAAACCCTACAAGGCCCGCGAGGCATGTAGAATGAAGCTGTGTACACACTCAGGGTTATCCACAAGCCGACACGCCCCTAAACCAATACAACGATAACGCCCCACAGAGCCACCTTCCAAACCCTAAACTCCCTAAACCCGACAGCCCCTAAACCCCAAGCCCTATAAACCCCAAGCTCTAAACCCTAAAGCCCCTAACCCTCAAACCCTAAACTCCAAGCTCTAAACCCCTAATGCCCCCTAGGCCCTAAACCCTAAACCCTACAGCCCCCAACAAAAACCCAAACCCTAAAACCCTAGAGCCCTAAACACTACAGCCCAAAAAGCCCAAACCCAAAGCTCTTATAGCGATACCAAGGCGGTGCTTCAGTGTTTGACGAAGCACCATGGAATCATTGGCCGTGTAGGGTTTAGGGGGGAGTTAGGGTTTAGGATTTAGGGTTTAGGGTTTAGGGTTTAGGGGGGAGTTAGGGTTTAGGGTTTAGGGGGGAGTTAGGGTTTAGGGGGAGTTAGGGTTGTAACGGTTTGGGATTAGAACATAGGGGCCTTAGTAATTACTTATACGATTTTGAGAGGCTCCTTATTATAATTATAGTGTAATGGGCCCCAAACCCTATTCTAATTATTACGGCCCCTACAGCAAGCTCTATATTATAAGGCTTGTTCTGTGCCAACAAGGGTTCCGAAGAGGGGCTTGGGGGTTGAGGGGTTTCGGTGTTGGAAAATCGAGGAATGCGGCTAGGGTTTGGGGCGAAAGTCGCCAAAGCTTTGGGCCTCACCGTAGGGTCAGGATTTTGGGTTTTTGGGGTTAGGGTGTGGCATGACGGCATTTCAAGGAAAAGCTATTTTAGGATGTGGCCTGTATCCTCCAGATGCTCCCTGCTTGTGATATTGATTCTGCGAATTCTTCCGCACAGAAGGCTGAGCTTGCATATAGAGTAGGTATACCTGGGGGGTTAGGATTCAGGCATCGAGTTTACACAAGCTGTGTACGCACACCAGCCGGCCCTGCCCGTTTTCCCTTGAGGTTCTCCTGCAGTTTTAGGTTGGGGGAGCCTCGCATACCAAGAGCACCGCAGGCTTTCGCGGTGATTCCAAAACTCAAAGCCCGTAACCCCAAAGCCTTCAATCCTGAGTAGTAGAAGTTGAGGAGTTTGAAGGCCGGACTGTGAGGGCGAGCCGATTGAGTCGAAATGCAGTTCCTAAGCAATGGTAACCCAGCCCAACGTCCAAGGCGCACGCACCCAAATGCAATCTAGTCCACCAGCTGCCTGCTCCAAGACAGGCCCGGTGGCGGGTCGATCGCCTTCGGGCAAACTCCTCCGTAGGTAGTCCAAGTACAATGCAAGCCTTGGACAGCATTTCTGACTGATTCTGTCTATGCTTTTTGTTGAGGAGGTTGCAATGTAAGCCGAACACCCGCCTAAAGTCTTAGACCCGGCATACCTCAGAACCCCGAAAGTCGAAAACCGTAAGTCCTGGATCAAGTCCAAAACCTACAGCCTTAACCCTGCATCCCAAGCTTCAGCCGAGCACAGAGCAAGGCACATCCGCTTTGCGAGCATGACCAAAGAGTTCTTCGCAGACCGCGCGAGGCTCCGCCTAGTGATCGGATGCTGAAAGCCGTTTAGGTTCAGCCCACTACATCGGACCTGAATGAAGTTCTGAACCGAGCCCCTTACCCCCGACTTTAAGACAGGCGACTCAGAATTTCAGAACCCCTAGACCCCAGACTCGGAATCTTGAGCCGAAACCCGAGGCGACACTCTCATGCAATCTTGCCTGTGGCTCTTCCTTGAGTTGAGTTAAACTAGGTTCCTGAGTAGTACCCTTTTGCCCTTTTTACTTTGGGGTCTCCTTATTATAACCCAACTATAGGAAAAAGGGTACCCCTATTATTTCGGGGTCACTCAGGAACCTAGTAAAGGTCAGCATAATTGCTCCTTTCAAGCTTTCGTGATGGCATGAATTGTGTTGGTACTCCTTGGGCTCAGAGCTGGCAATGGATTGAATCAGAACAGGAAGAGATAACACAAACTATGATCTAACGGAGCGGCATACTGGTTCTGGGCTTTGGAGTACCATACTTTAATACTTTTTTGGGACTTGTCCCTTAAAGGAGCCATTATGAAATAAAAGTCTATACTTTTTTCTCCCTGGTCACTTCAAAGCCCAGGGTTTCCGAGTATGTTTGTAGGACTTGGGCGACCGCTGTGCCTCCAAAGCCCCCAGCTTACCCGGCATGCCGGCATGCCCTTGCTCAGAGCGATTCGCTTTGCTCCGCAGGCCTTACCTGAAGCGCGAGGATTGCGAGGCAGTCATGCTGCTTGGCGAAAAAGCGCCTGAACTCACACCCTAAACCCTAAACCCCTAAGCCCCTAAACCCTCAACTTGGCCCTAAACCTTAAACCTTAAGCCTTAACCCGTTTAGCCCCCTTAATCCCAAGTGTCCCAAGCCCGTTATTTCTCGTCGGGTCTGGAACTTTGCCACCAATCCCCTTAATGTAGGGGCCTAATTATAATTACCTCCACTATTTTGGGGGTTCCTTCTATATAAGTATAGTATAATGGGCCCAAAACCCCATTCTAATTATCAAGGCCCCTATGTTAGCCTGAGACACAAAAAGCCCTAATCACCCCCAAAGAGCCCTAAAGCACCTGAATCCACCAACTTCAATCGCTGAGGTAAACTCTTATACTATGTGGGAGTTTCCGAAAATTACGGGTACCTTATTATGGTGTCCCTAGAATAAGGATCCTACCATGTAATACTATATTAGGGTCCCCGATTTTCGGAAACCCCCCCATGTATTCTCAACCATTGAGGGCCGGTACTCGTAATAGGCGGGCAGTGGACTCAAAACAACTACATCTAGGACATTTTCAGGTGGGTAGGTACCGTTATAGGAGCCTTATGGAAGGTCTATATACCTTTTAGAAGCCTTATAGAAGCCCTGTATACCCTAAACTGCCCACCTGTAGTTTCCTTTAACTACACAGACAGCTCTTAGTCCGACGCTGCGGTTGACAACTCTGGGGTTCGGGCTGTTTCCCTCATTTCAAGAAGCAACCAAGCCAGCCTTACTGCAGGGGCCTTAATATTCCGAGTAGGGTTTTGGGGGTTCCTTAATATAACTATAGTCTTATAATTATTAAGGCCCCGACAAAGGACGGTTCAACTTTTGGGAGGTCGCAGACACGCAACCCCCAATCCATTCGAATGCATTCGCTCGACTCCACATCTGTAGCCTGAACCTTGAACCCGACAAAAACCTTTCATGGATTGACGTCAGCAGGCAGTGTTGAGGTATACTGTTAGGGTTGCGTATTATAATTAGAGTAAATTCTTCCCAAAAATTCTCTTCTAATTTTTAATGCCCCCACATTACCTCTCGAATCTTCGTTTGAGAGAGCTGAGGATGTACTACCTCCTCGGCCGGCCCCCGCCCCAGCAGCTGACGTCCCGGAGATCGGGTCTGAGCCCGGTGGAGCAGATCTATCCCATCGAGGCCTGAGACTTCCTAATGTGGGGTCCTTAGTAATTAAAATAGGGAGTTTGGGGGGTATAATTGTACTATGGTTATAAGAAGAAACTCCCAACAGAGTATTGGTAATGATTTAGGCCCCTGCAGCAATCCTTACGCCCTCCACTTATTACCCCCAGTAAGGCTTGAAACAAAGTTTCTGAACCGAACAGGTGAAGACTGATAAGAAGGACGAGTCGTTTTGAAAGGCAAACCCTGCGCCCCTTGAGACCGAAGGCGTGCAACTCCGAAGTGACTCTGTCAGGATTTAGGACGTCTACAGTGTAGCTTTAGGGCAACGGGTCACAGCTTTCAAAGTGAAGGGCTTGTAGGTTTAGTGGTTCAGTTGGTTTTGGTTCCTGTAGGTGGAGTTGTACGGGGCTGCAGTGGCTGCAGTGCTCCATTGTACTGATTTTGGATTGGCTCTGAATGAACGAATTCAGCGATCCCTCGACCTTTTCAAAGGCCGCAGGGGCTTTGCCGTGGTTCAGCTGCAGTCACACCCTTCCCTTGCCTCTGCCGACTCTTGGTTTGAGGGAGGATCGAAAGCCTGAGCCCGGCGTATGCGTGAAACCTGAACCTTTGAACCCAGCCCGCCCTAAACCCAAAGATGGAAAAGACGAAATGCATGAAGCCCCTACACGCTAAGACGCGACGAGCGCCACATACGTTTCAGACACGGCCCCCAAAAGCCACCTCCAGGTGACTTCCGTGGGAATGCCAGAGGGCACTGAGTTCCCCGACGTTCATTTGGGTGGTTGTTTTTATGTAGGGGCCTTGACAATTAGAATGGGGTTTTGGGGCATATTATAGTATAAGTACAATGATGGAGACCCCAAAATAGTATAGGTAAATATTCAGCCCCCATATTAGATTCTATACAGGGCCCTGGTTGCAAGGGCCCTTGTGAAGGTCGTACTCAGCAGTTTGCTTGGGAAGGGTTTTGGGGCGGGTTTAAAACCAGTTAGCTTCTGTCCAGCTGGGGACTCGTTGTCGAGGGCTTCGTTGATGGCATAATGTCCTTTTCAGTCAACTACCAGTGAATGTTTCTGTAGAGTTTGCACTCGACCATCCCAGATCCCCAAAACCATACAAAACCATAAACCCTAGCCGAATAAGCTTAATTGGGGGTGCTGAAGAGTTTTTAGATAGTTGTGGGTGTCCAGGGCGGAGGGTCTACCCGGCTGGGGTCTACTGGGCTTCGGTTTCGCGAGTTTCCGTGTACCTAACTCTCGGGGTTGGTTTGAGGACTCAGGGGTTGTGGCCTCGAGCCCTTGAGCTCGAAAGCCGAGGCAGTTCGGGAATGTGAGAGACAACAGTAGCGGCAGTCCTGAACCCCTAAGACCACAAACTTTGCAACTCTTGCTGGCACAGGTGCAGCTTTGCATGTGTCAGTGCCGATCTTAAGCCCTGCTCTCTCTCTCTCTCTCCCTTGCTCTCTCGCTCCCTGCTCTTTCACAATCTTAGATATGCAAGCCTCAACCGCCCCCCCCCCCAATAAACCCGAATGCAGTAAACCCTTCAGCCCCGCAGCCCTATAACCCAAAACCCCTAAACCCTAAAAGCCCAAGAGAGGCATTTGGCCGTTGGGCGTGGCACCTGGAAGCTACCATATGCCAGCTCGGCGGCGAACCGAACGCTGTCCGTGCAGCTACTGGAGCTTGCGTTTAGGGGTTTATCAGGACCTTATTAGGAGCCCCCAAAACGACATAAGCATAAGCATATTATAGGGATATCCCTACCTTATTGGGCTTCAATATAAGGGGATGTATATGGGATATCCCTATCCTATTTTTCGCTTATGTGCTTGTTTCGGGCCCTAGTTGAGGTGTCTAAGGGTTTTGGGCCTCAGGGTGCTTCTTTGTCAAGTCTTGTTGTGGAAAGTTAAAGTAGTTAGCGGTCCCTTTGCAGGGATTGTAAGGATCCGTGTTGGGATGCCATATGGGAGTTTCCGAGAATAAGGGGTACCTCATTTTGGGGATCTTATAATAAGGAGCCTACTTACTAGGGGTCCCCTATTTTCGGAACCCCCCCTATATTTTCTGAACTCCCGAGTATAAATATGATCTGTTTTTCAGAGGTCTCGTAACGTGAGAGTGTGAAGGGCTCCTGGGCACGCACTTCAGTATTGGGCTGACATCCTGTTTGCTGAACCCTCGTTGTAGCTTGCTCGTCTCACTGCAGTTGGAATGTTCCGCCAAGCTTGGAGAGTCTTTGCCTTGTAGAGGTTGGGTGACGAAACTCACGCAGTTAACGTCGGCGCGCTGGCCTGCCGGTAAAGCCACCCTTGTCACCCGTTTAGTTGCCTGCAAGCTTCTTCGTTATCGGTGAGGCTTTTTTCAGCGGTAGCATGCTCATGAGGCTAGATCGCAACGCAGGGACTCATACAGTCTACGCGCGGCGTGGTGGCCTGCCGGTAAAGCTACTCGTACCACCGGATCCTTGTTTGTTGCTTTGCTCGTTGATCAGCGTAGTAGCTGGCTTCTTTATGTTTTGGCTGTTTTGCGCCGCAGCGGTGCTGCCTGTTGGTGGGTTAGGTGGATATCTTCCTGACTTTGGGGCGGAAGTAAAGCGTGTACAGTTACATATGTCATCAAAGGTCTATCTAGATCCGCTCCGGCTTGTTAGATGTCCAGGAACCCTGCACCCCTAACCCTAAATTGCCCGATTGAACCCGAAACCCTAAACCCTAAACCCTACCCCCCTACCCGGAAGTTCCTAAACCCTTGACCCGAAATCGCAAAGCTGAGGCTCTTGCAGCCGATCAACGAGCCCTGCCAGATGTTGGCTGGGTTGGATGAGTTCAGGGCTTCACACATTTACCCAGAGCCCCTTAGATTTCGGGGTTTGATTTGTGTGTGTGTGTGTGCATGTATATATATGTAT